AGTTTAGGTTTTTTATTACAGTGGAACGTTTAATGCATACGGACTATGACACTGTAATTAATTAATTACATGGGTTTAATTATTATTCAGGGCCGGCCATGGTTTTGGGGTATACAGTATATTTGGGTATTTAATTTCAGTTATACAGTATTTTTATGCTTAAAATTGGGTATAAAGTATTCCCCCACATCCAATTTTGGGTATAAAGTATACCGCGTTTTTCTTAATTTTGGTATTTTACACGAGTTTTAGTGTAATTTTTGGTGTAGTGGAAGATTTATTTGGGGTATTTTGGTATTCCACTACCCCCTGCCCCCCATGGCTAACCCTGATTATTCTCTCAAAATATTTCGCAATTTCTGATTAGTTTCAATACGGCAATTATATTCTATTTGTAAGATCCAATCTAGCCTGTGCCACAGACAAAACTAAACTTAAGTTAAGTCCATCTGCAAAACAGCGCCAAACTCCTTGTTCTGCTGAGCCCCCACCTGTATACTGGGATTTGAGTGCATGCCATGATTGGCCTGTTAAAAAAGATGTTGTTGATTTGCAAACCAGGTTGAAAGGAAATTCGAAACGCATTTCCAGTAATTCATTGAGTCCGTAGGGGACCCAGGTCAAGGACATTGGCACTGCTTCACAGATGTTACTAACTGGGGTTTGATTACACCTTCAACACAGGCTATCCAACAGCTAGTCACCATTTCCAGGCGTGAATGCATAGCCCAAGAAAATGATCAGAATAAGAAATAGGCTTATTACTGACCAAACCTGAATGGAAAAAATATTAGAATATGCAAACAATATTGCTCGATGAATGTCACCTTCATTTTGAGGAGAAGTTGAATGGAAAAACATCTGTTCACATTCTGAAACTGTGCTGAAAAACAGGCAGATGTTTTGAAGAAAGTTTGCAAGGACATATGAAGGGATGTTAAGAACTTAATAGAAATATTTTGAATTAATTAGCCTGTGAGCTCTATGGGGTGCTTGGGCAGCGGGGCAGGAAAAGAAAGGAGAACTTGCAACTACATCTCTGGAATTGAATTCCACCTCCAAGAGATGTGCTCTGTCTGACGCTAGCTTGGACAACCAGGTACCAGGGCTCCTTCAGATTCAGTGGAACCAAGATGTGGAACACGCATTCATGTATGTGAGACACTCAAACGGAAGAATACCAACACCCCAGGCTGGTTCTTCTCTTGATCAAACATATGGCTGCTTGAAGAATACAGCCATTTGAACTAAATTTGTTGGATTTTGTGGCCTCCTGCAAGCCTGAATGACAAGACCACAAGTTTTGCCATGTAATCTCATCACACAAGCTTCCCCAACTGAAATATAAATATGCCCCTGGGGAGAGTGGGGTGGTAAGTAATGGAGGATTTTATGGTATGTTGCTTGTTTCTTTCTTTAGGTACGATGTTAACAATGATCATTACTTAGACCTCATGGAGATGAAGCAGATGATGGAGAAACTAGGTGCACCTCAGACACATGTTGGGCTCAAAGCCATGATTGCAGAGATTGACGAAGACAATGATGGAAAAGTCTCTTTCAGAGAGGTAATCATAATTCCAGTACTTCATTTTTTTTTTTTGGCATTATTACTGTTTCGGGAGTGGGGTGGTGTGTTTGAATTAATTAATGCACCGCACTTTTTATTTAATTTTTTTTCAAGACATTTGTTATGCTGATTACAAAGAACTAATAATTAAAAAGAAACTAATTACAAAACCCCAAACAACCGTAATAACAGAAGGAGAGAAAAAGGGACAAGTATTACATACTTACAATTATCTACAGTTCCCAATTATATACATTACAGTCAAAAAACAGCCACGCAATTGCTGAAAAGTGGCTTATTTTACAAATAGTTAATTAATACTTAGTGATGTAGTTATTTAATTTTGTTGCAGTTCCTTTTAATCTTCCGTAAAGCAGCAGCTGGAGAACTAGATGAAGACTCAGGCCTGAGTCAGCTTGCTAAACTTGCTGAGGTTGATGTTGATGAAGTAGGTGTATCTGGGGCTGCCAAATTCTTTGAAGCCAAAGTTAAAGAGCAAGCATTTTCAAACAAATTTGAAGCAGAAATTCGCCAGGAACAGGAAGAGAGGAAGAAGGCAGCTGAAGAAGCTAAAGCTAGGAAAGAAGCATTTAAAGCCAAGAAAGCAGCATTTGGTGTTAGTTAAAATAGAAAAAAGTCAATTCAAGCAGTTTTAAATTTTGTCTAAAATTGGGCAGTTTTGCAGTGACTAAAAAATGTTCCACATTTTGATTGGTTGAGATTAGCAGTAATAATATTAAAAGCTCAAAAAATCAACTGAGCACTTAAGTCATTGTTATCAGCTTACAGTGAAGGCTAAATTGAAACTGAAAAGAGAAAAATTGCTGCTTAAAACTTACCCCTTTTCCTTCTTTGTGGCTGTTGGATGTGCAGCTTTTATTTTAATATGTAGTGTTGTCCTTTACTGGAACCTTTTTAGATTCTAGCAGTTTGTGAAGGTGTTTTTCTTGATATCATTGCTGATTGAGACATACCCTTTGGGCAGAGTCCCCTTAATTTGTTAGACTACATGTAGCCGCACCCTCCCTCCGAAAACTTCGTCCGGGGGAGGGTGCGGCTACATGTAGGCTACCTTTTCTCTTCTTGATCAAGGTGGAGAAAAGGTGGCTCTAACTGAATTATTTATTGCATCAAACCTTTGAGGTCGCCACACCCCAAACTTCTGGACTAGTCAATCTTGTTTTCTCTCACCAAACCGGTTCTTTTGAGTGCGAGCATCTGTTTATTGATAAACGGATGGTCCCAACCGAGCCCGCTAAAGCAAACTCACAGCTATTAGGCCTGGGTTCGAAACTACATCCTAGCAACATGTAGTGCATGTTCCACAAAGATCTTACTCAATTCATGGAGAGTCTTTCTCGAGTTAGAGTACATCTCTGCTGGCAGGGAGACCGAGATACTGAGGTTTCTTTAAATCACTGTGCAAAAAAAGGCGTCAGCTCTTGCAGACTATTATTTTTTATTTGTTATGTATTGTGTTCCAGTGACCTCTAGCAACACATTCATTTTGGTCTAACTTTCCACTGTGAGCCAATGTTTATGAACATTTCTCTTGTTATTCACTGCTACATTATTTTTTGGAATGTCATTGCAAGACTTGCCATTAGGAATATTAAAATTTCACAAGACATTATTAATTTTTGGCTATTGAAAGAGGAATAGCTACTTAATAGAATAATAATTTCCTTACTGGTGATAACCAAAGGTTATACAGAGTGCGGGCGACAACAATCGAAGGTCAAAATGCTTTTGCTCCATCGCTGCAGTAGTTTGCAGCCTAAGCCTGAACAGGTGAAAAATAAACTTAGATTTGTATGGAGAAAAATGGTTTAACTTTATTAAATTTTCGCTTCTGTTTTTGTACCTTTAATGATACAAACATTTATCCCAATACAAATCTATATATTATTGTAGCTGTTGTTAGACATTTACATTGCAGATGAGCCCAGCTTGCAGGGTTGTCAGAAAGTTTTGAAGTACCAGTAGTAGACAACTGAGTTGTCAAAGTAAGCCACCAGCACTGGTGGCACTGCTGAATGCCCAAGGCGCAAGCCTCTAGGGGGTTTGGGGGTTTATATATATTTTTTAGACACTCTAAAATGCTGTTTTCTGCACTGTCCACGCTATTTTCTCTCCAAAATTACTGCAAATCTTAAGTGTTATAAGGTGAATTATTGAGTGTAAGCATTAAATTTAACTGTGAGTGACACATAAACAATTGCTATAGTTTTCAGAAGATGTTTCTTAACCAGTCCAGGGATATGTTATTTAGAAAACGCCACTGTATCTGGAAAGAAAGGCCAAGCAGAGTAGCCAGCGGATACCAACCAAGTAGGCGGCGATTTTCACTGGCAGCCAGCTACTTTTGACAAACCTGGGTTGCTGCAGCAATTGCTGGATTTATGAACGGCTATTTGCATTATGAGTGTGAAAGCATTATTAAAATGAAATAATAACAATAGTCTAGTACATGCAACTTTTGGTTTGTTTGAAATTTAATATTCATAAACAGATAGAATAATACCATTTTAGAATGACATAGTAAACAAAATGCACAATATTATGAGACATGCAGTGTAATAAAATTATTTTGTGCTGTACCATTTGCAAGTTGGCATGAAGCTTCATACTGGTATTTCTTCTAGAACTAAATAATAGTACACCTATTAGATTTATTTCAGGTAAGGGATGAAGTGAGTGTGATGAAACATTGTTGGAATAAAATTTTGTATTTTTGAAGGAGTTTCTTTACTATGCCAGACTAACCAGCCATAATTTATCATCTTAACCAAGAAACCCTCTTCATCTCCTCTTCTACTGAAACTAGATCTACTTAACTAGAGAGGGCCATACCCATGTAGCCAGTAAATTAAGGTACCCCTCCCTCTACTCAATGAAAGGCCTAATTGTTACAAACATTTTGTCATATGCTAAGACTTTTCAATCTTCAATCTGGTAGGTCTAGACCCTGGTATAGTGCCTATTTACATTTGCTTTCCTGCAGAAAGCAAAAAAATGTAAAAGCACTTAAAAAGCATTTTACTAAAAATAATATTATTTGTGTTTGAGATGATGTACATAGTAATAAAATACCTGCAATACTGTTTGGACAAATGAGAACATGTGCCACCAATATTGGCAGTCCAGTAAACTTTGCAGACACACTTGTGGTAAAGATTGGGTTGACCAATGTTGCCGGTGATCAATGTTTTTTTTTTTATCAGAACAGTATCCTAGGCAGTACCAGCAGCTATGTCACAGGTAAGGCAGTGGCAAATGGGAACCTGGCTTAATAATGTCCATCATTAGAAGGATGCAACTCCTAATCTGAGGACTCTGTGAGGGTACAATTCTGACAAGCAACATGGCCTTGAAACAGCATCATAGGAAAGCAGAAATGGTGACGAATGACACAAAGATGGGTTGAAACTGTGACAATGAAAGAGAAAAGTGCAAATACAATAGGAAAATTTTGGCAGCGACATTGCTTCTTCCTAAATATGCGAAACGAAAGGTTTTGAAATTCAGAATAAGGACATGCGTAACCCCCGTAAGGGTTGATTTTCACTGTCGCGCAATTTTTATGTGCATCCATGCATAAAATTTACACTCGCAAATTAAATAGAGGCAATGTATGAACGGTCGTAAGTAAGCATAAAACTAGAACCTCGCTCAACTTCACGTTTAATCTCAATACTTTATATATTTCCTCTATTATATTTACGTGATTAAAATTTACGTGCATAGCCAAAAATGCTTCAGTGGAAATCAGCCTTATGAGGGTCTCACTCAGGGGTGATCTTTTCAACAAACTCAAACATAGAGAAGGAACTCAATAGAAATCAAGGGTAGGACTTGAAGGGACAACTCAAAAGGGGGGTGAAACCACGTTACCAAACAGACAAGTGGTAACATGAGGTTTCGCTCCCTTGAACCCACTAGAAAACCACAATAAAATACAGCGCCCTACACCACTTGGCCACATTGCCTCCAAAATACAGAATGATCTCCTTTCATCTTCACCTGAAACAAGATCATAACTGAAACTCTTTGTTTGATAAAAGATCAGGAAGATCTGCAACACTGTTAATAATGAAGTCCGGGCTACTTTCGTTAATGCATTCTAAACTTTGTGTACCAGTTAGAACTGCTACAGTCCAGCAGCCGGCATTCTTTCCTTCCTCTACGTCAGCTTTTGTGTCTCCAACTTTAACAACGGTACGAGGGTCGGTTATATCGAAGAATTTCATTGCAGTGTGGATCATAGCAGGGTGAGGTCTTCCCTGGCCTGCCTTTTCGGCGCTACATAGATAATCAACAAGATTTTCCCATTGCAATGTCGATACAATTGATTCTACCACACTGTGTGGAAAGCCACTGCCAACGGCAATCTTAACTCCCGAGGTTTTTAGCTTTACAAAAACGTCACTTGTCCCTGGAATTTCATTCTTAATCGAAGAGAGATGTTTTTGCAAGACATTTTTAAAGTCTTTAAAGACAACTTCAACATCAATGGCCGGAGATGGAGAGAGCTCATGGTTCAATATGCTGCGGATGGCATCCTTTTTTTCCAATCCACGATATTTATTGACGGTTTCTGGATCGATTTGATAGCCATGATTCTCAAAGGCGTCCCTCATTGCAACAGTAACAAGGGGAACTCCTTCTATACTGTCATCTACCGTCGTACCAGCGAGATCAAACATTACCAACTTTAAGTTCCCCTCGTCCGCCATATTTGCCTTGTAACGAATGAGCCAGCGCTACCAACATCCTAGTGGATACTGGCAAATCTAACCTAGTGTCCAGGGTTCCACAGGACAAAAACAACATGGCGGATTGTTTGAAGGTAGAATATAACTAATATCCTGAAATTCCAGGCTATTCTTTTCTATTATTGAGCTTTTCAGACTTAAAAATTATATTTTCCTTCTGCAGATACTAGTGCTGCACGGTTACAGGTGAGAATTGTACAGTGAGGTCAACTAATTCATAATCAAGTCATACATCGGGAATCAGCTGTTGGCTGTTGTTAGCTGCTTGATTGTTTGTTTATTTGTTTTTTTAATAAAGGGTTACAGCTTAGATCAAAACCTTAGCATGCCCTCAACACAGCAGACCCCAGGTATTGGACATTTTGAAGTCTGAGTTGTTCAAACTCTCTCATTTAAGTTCGGGTGTTGGGAAGGGGCAGAGTGAGGAGTGGTCATATCATCATAATGGACAGTCGAATGGCCCTTTCCCTGGACCTTGAAATGACCAAAGTTGTGGAAGAAAAGTAAATATTTATATTATAAGAAAACACTAATATTTAATTAATTTATTACCCAACACACACCTTGCAGGGTCTTCTTCTCTAGCTATAACATTTAAAAATTTCTATACATCCCCCAATCCACTCCAGCTAAATCAGTGGGTCAAATGTTATTACCTGGGGTATTTATTTACTCCAATTCGCCAATGCTGGCAGGGTTATAGCAACAGCGCAGGACACCAATATTACTGTGGCTCTGTAACAGTCCCTCCCCCGTGAGAGATAGACCACAATGCCTGGGAATATGTCCTTAACTCTTTTCAAATAGTGTGTGGGGTATTAAATGTCCCACAGAATTTATATGTGCAAGGATTGTGAGACAGGGCCTACTGTTTATTGTCCTTCTCTGAGAAGACTAGAAAGTCTAACCATTTGCAGATGTCTTTACAAAGGCAGCACTTTCTGCCCAGTTATTTAAAGACCCTGTTGTTGGTCTGGCCGGGATTCGAACCAGCAGCCTCCCGCTCGGCAGACCAGGGCTTATCAAACTGAGCTTACTAGGCGGCAGTTAAGGTAGAACTACCTTTTATACTGAATCATGCAGGTGATGTCTCCATTTTATTGATGCATAAAACTATTAATTTTGACATTTAAGGATTATTATTTTGTGGTCTCTTTGAACAGACAGAGTGCACAGACTTGCAAGGAGAAACTTGGTGCTTTTAGAAAAGGACTGAAAAAACTTCCTCTTGAATTTGGTGAGGGTAGATTTTGTCAACTAGAATTTATATACTTTAAATTTGAAATTTCCTCCCTAATAGTTTACTTGGGTTGTATGAATATTTTCCAATTCCTGTGAGGCCAAGGGGGTTTTCAATAAAAATTACCAAATCGAAAAAATGTTTTTAATCTGCTATCTTCTTTTTTTGCTTTTAAAATTTATAGTTTATATCACTGCTCCAAACAAAATTCCATCAGAGGGTGGAGATATAGCAATAAATGAAGGTATGATGCATAAAAAATTTGCCATAGAAAAACGTCAGTTTAAAGACAAGTAAAACTTTGCACTGATAATTCATAGTTATTATTTTTATGCAGGATCAAATGAGTTTGGCTGGTGGTTTTCAACAGAAAATGATACATATGACCCTCTTAGTCCTTCAGAAATCTCAAAAGGATATGAAGAGTCATTAGAACTTGTAAAAACAACTTTTGCAGACAAGGTATGTAGGTGTTGACTTTATTTATAAATAAATGTCAAAAATATTTCTAATATTATTTTGATAATCAATAATTAACTACTCTCTCCACTTTTAATTTTTAGGGTCCTTTTGATGGTATGTATGCTCAAGATAGAACTGGTTACTATTAATACTTTTGTTAATATTGACATTTATGGTACCTATTATGAAAAGAAAAACTTTTTTCCTTTATTTCAGGCATTCTTGGTTTTAGCCAAGGCTCCTGCCTGCTATCGGTTCTTTGTGCTCTAAAGGAACAAGGTATATTTTTTATATTCTGTACTAATTATGAGCTTCATTTATAGAACATTTTCATTGATTATTACCTTCCTTTACATAGAATACCCCCTTTCATTTTATAGAATACCCACCATAGCTACAGCAGATTTTGTGCCTGTAAGATACTCCTTTGTTGGCCTGAGTTATTGATAATAATTATTGTTATATTAATGAATTGAATTCTCACTTGAATGGTCTTAACCATGATCTTGCCGACCATTTATTATGTGTGTATTTTTTCCTTTAACCATCTGGTCCTGGTTGTTCAAAACCCTTATAGAGTCTTCCTCCAGATAAATCGCTATCGGCCAGTTAATAAGTATTAAGGGAAACCATTATATAGCATTATCCAGTGGATAGGGATTTATCCAGTGGATAGCTATCCACCTTTGATCAACTGGGGCCAAGTCAGGAAATAAAAAATGTATAAACATTAAAAACTAATATTTTTGATTGTGTACTTGTAGGGTGTTTAGATTTTAAATTTGCCATTCTTGTGGCTGGATTCAAATCTCGATCATCAGGTCACAGTGTGTATTACAACGCACCAATTACTTGTCCCACTCTGCATGTGTTCGGCGACACAGACAGAGTTATACCTAAAGGTATGTTATCTTTAGTCAAGACACTGGCTTCTTCACCTTCCTCTTCCCTCGATAAGGTGTAGTCTGCACACTGACATCTTCTACATTTTTACTGGAGTTGTCTGTTTGAAGGCCATTACCTCTGCTCCACAGGCACTCAAAGGAGCTTTCCATATAGAGAGAAGCTGCTGAAAAAGTCAGTGCTGGCATATATTGGCTTGTAGAAGGTGGTAAATGAACTTTCAACTTTTATCTTTGCGATCACCTTGTGCAATGGAAATTCAATGACATACCTTATCAAGCCTCCAGAGAAGGAGAGAGGGCTTTTGCAGAGTGAAGAATAATAGGCTCTGCCTACAGAGTAGACCCTCTTTAAGTCTGTTATTTTGAGGCGACAGAGTAAAATATATTCTCTGGGTTCTCGATCGGTCAGGCTGTCTTTTTGGGACATTGTTTCTTTTTGCGACACTCACAAAACTTTGGGCAAGTTTACCTACAGTGAGGACACCGGTCATTGTATAGTACCACATATGCACAACATCTGCAACGCAGAAGGCAAAAAAGGGTCATCATGTTAAGATATAGATACCTGATAACTTCATGTTGTAAATAGCTTACTATGTTGCACCCTGTCTTCCTATACATTCCTGCCACTGATTATTAACTTAGCTGCCTGTGGCACAGCCCAGTATATAAAATATGTTCCACTTTTCTCTCGTTTTGATTGTTAATTACCTGCTCTCTTTAATTAAACAGAAAACAGTGAAGAATTATTACAGTATTTTACAAATGCAACTATTCTTAATCATCCCGGAGGTTGGTGAATCATTAATTATCTTCTGCTTAATATATACACCTTATTTTATCATAATTATTTTTTTTGACAGGAATCTTTATATTTTATGTTTTGAGCTCACTAAAGCATTTCGTTTTGTTGTTACCGGTAATTACAGACATTACACTATTTTAGCAAAGTGTATATTTCTTTACTCCTCAGGCCATTTCGTCCCAACACAAGCTCCTCAAAGAAAGGTGTATATAGAGTTCCTGGAACAGTTTCTTAACAAGGCTTGACACTCTCTTTCTTAATCAAAAGTGTTAACAGTCGGAAGAGTAACTAATTTTTCAAGAAGCTACAAGCTTTCATTTGGATGTCTTGTTAACAAGGACAGCCTAATTACTTAAGTTAGGTTTACACCAGAGGTTGGCCGTTTACGCGCAGATGGATGATTTTCGAATTAAAAACGTCCCGGTTTGGTCGCGCTTCCAGAGATTTTAAAACTGGAATCTAAGGCCCTGTCCACACGTATCCGTTTTGTTTGAAAGCAAAGGTTTTTTTCTCCGGCTTGGCCTACCGTCTACATATATCTGGTGAAAACTGTTACCCAGGGGGAGCTGGCAACGGCCTTTGATCTTGCCGCTTTTCGGCTTTCCATGATCGCCCCAGTTAAGAAATCTGTCAATCATTCGAGACCTGTAGCGAGCATGCGCGAAACTGGCTGAGAACAACAACAGCGTCAAGAAGTTCGTCTTCGCAGCGATTCGAGAGTGTGGAGTGAATTCGCTCTTGATCTGTTGGTCATTGCTTTCTTTGCTGTAACCGATTTTTTCCGCAGTAATGTGGGGTTTACATTTTCCTTCCTTCTGGTCTTGCGTTTGTGATTACATACGGTTTACTACGCTAAGAACGAGACCAGTAAACAGTCATTGTACATGTACATGTTCCTCGATGCCGGACCTTTTGGCTCACTACAGGCTTTCAAGCTGTGTTTCTGTTTAGAAGACCCACAAGGCTAGAAAAAGAGCCAACCCTCCAATGCGTATGTAAAAGAGTTTATATTTTCAAGTGAAAGGCCGAAAATTAATCCTTCGTGACATTAAAAAAGCGTGGTGAACGTGGTCAAATAGAAGAGTTGTCAGAGTTGTTTACGGTTTTAGTACACCTTTAAGACGAAAAGAAATGATGATTGAGATTTTTAATTCTTCATCCTTGATTGTGAACTTATCCTGGCAGAGTTGCGTTGGATGATTGAGTGGCATATGGTCAAATCTCGTAGTTCATGTATTTTGTTATGTAATAGAAGCTAAATAAATTTTGCCAAGAGATCATTCACTCTTGAAATGCTTAAGTTCTTATCTTCGGGTGATTTGATTTAAACTTNTATTTTTATGCAGGATCAAATGAGTTTGGCTGGTGGTTTTCAACAGAAAATGATACATATGACCCTCTTAGTCCTTCAGAAATCTCAAAAGGATATGAAGAGTCATTAGAACTTGTAAAAACAACTTTTGCAGACAAGGTATGTAGGTGTTGACTTTATTTATAAATAAATGTCAAAAATATTTCTAATATTATTTTGATAATCAATAATTAACTACTCTCTCCACTTTTAATTTTTAGGGTCCTTTTGATGGTATGTATGCTCAAGATAGAACTGGTTACTATTAATACTTTTGTTAATATTGACATTTATGGTACCTATTATGAAAAGAAAAACTTTTTTCCTTTATTTCAGGCATTCTTGGTTTTAGCCAAGGCTCCTGTCTGCTATCGGTTCTTTGTGCTCTAAAGGAACAAGGTATATTTTTTATATTCTGTACTAATTATGAGCTTCATTTATAGAACATTTTCATTGATTATTACCTTCCTTTACATAGAATACCCCCTTTCATTTTATAGAATACCCACCATAGCTACAGCAGATTTTGTGCCTGTAAGATACTCCTTTGTTGGCCTGAGTTATTGATAATAATTATTGTTATATTAATGAATTGAATTCTCACTTGAATGGTCTTAACCACGATCTTGCCGACCATTTATTATGTGTGTATTTTTTCCTTTAACCATCTGGTCCTGGTTGTTCAAAACCCTTATAGAGTCTTCCTCCAGATAAATCGCTATCAGCCAGTTAATAAGTATTAAGGGAAACCATTATATAGCATTATCCAGTGGATAGGGATTTATCCAGTGGATAGCTATCCACCTTTGATCAACTGGGGCCAAGTCAGGAAATAAAAAATGTATAAACATTAAAAACTAATATTTTTGATTGTGTACTTGTAGGGTGTTTAGATTTTAAATTTGCCATTCTTGTGGCTGGATTCAAATCTCGATCATCAGGTCACAGTGTGTATTACAACGCACCAATTACTTGTCCCACTCTGCATGTGTTCGGCGACACAGACAGAGTTATACCTAAAGGTATGTTATCTTTAGTCAAGACACTGGCTTCTTCACCTTCCTCTTCCCTCGATAAGGTGTAGTCTGCACACTGACATCTTCTACATTTTTACTGGAGTTGTCTGTTTGAAGGCCATTACCTCTGCTCCACAGGCACTCAAAGGAGCTTTCCATATAGAGAGAAGCTGCTGAAAAAGTCAGTGCTGGCATATATTGGCTTGTAGAAGGTGGTAAATGAACTTTCAACTTTTATCTTTGCGATCACCTTGTGCAATGGAAATTCAATGACATACCTTATCAAGCCTCCAGAGAAGGAGAGAGGGCTTTTGCAGAGTGAAGAATAATAGGCTCTGCCTACAGAGTAGACCCTCTTTAAGTCTGTTATTTTGAGGCGACAGAGTAAAATATATTCTCTGGGTTCTCGATCGGTCAGGCTGTCTTTTTGGGACATTGTTTCTTTTTGCGACACTCACAAAACTTTGGGCAAGTTTACCTACAGTGAGGACACCGGTCATTGTATAGTACCACATATGCACAACATCTGCACCGCAGAAGGCAAAAAAGGGTCATCATGTTAAGATATAGATACCTGATAACTTCATGTTGTAAATAGCTTACTATGTTGCACCCTGTCTTCCTATACATTCCTGCCACTGATTATTAACTTAGCTGCCTGTGGCACAGCCCAGTATATAAAATATGTTCCACTTTTCTCTCGTTTTGATTGTTAATTACCTGCTCTCTTTAATTAAACAGAAAACAGTGAAGAATTATTACAGTATTTTACAAATGCAACTATTCTTAATCATCCCGGAGGTTGGTGAATCATTAATTATCTTCTGCTTAATATATACACCTTATTTTATCATAATTATTTTTTTTGACAGGAATCTTTATATTTTATGTTTTGAGCTCACTAAAGCATTTCGTTTTGTTGTTACCGGTAATTACAGACATTACACTATTTTAGCAAAGTGTATATTTCTTTACTCCTCAGGCCATTTCGTCCCAACACAAGCTCCTCAAAGAAAGGTGTATATAGAGTTCCTGGAACAGTTTCTTAACAAGGCTTGACACTCTCTTTCTTAATCAAAAGTGTTAACAGTCGGAAGAGTAACTAATTTTTCAAGAAGCTACAAGCTTTCATTTGGATGTCTTGTTAACAAGGACAGCCTAATTGCTTAAGTTAGGTTTACACCAGAGGTTGGCCGTTTACGCGCAGATGGATGATTTTCGAAATAAAAACGTCCCGGTTTGGTCGCGCTTCCAGAGATTTTAAAACTGGAATCTAAGGCCCTGTCCACACGTATCCGTTTTGTTTGAAAGCAAAGGTTTTTTTCTCCGGCTTGGCCTACCGTCTACACATATCTGGTGAAAACTGTTACCGAAGACGCATCTTTTCAAAAACGCGGTCTGCATCGAAAAATACATCGACAAAGTCGATGCTAAATGCTGATTGGCGGAGATGACATTAGTAATGACGTCATTACCCTTGGGACGTGTTTTTCAATAGTTGTTTACATTCGCGCTCGTTTCCGCTTCACGCTGACAGCTCAGTCGAAGGTGAGCTACGTGTGAACGCGAATTTTTTCGAAAGCAGAGAAAAAAAAGTCTTCGTTTTCTAAAATATTCGAATATCTGTGGATGAGGCCTAAATTGAATACTTTGTATCAAGAACCATTATGGCTCTTGTTTGTATCCGAATGAATTTTCTCGGATTAACTAATGTGTTAATAAACTCCTGTAAAATCGGAACGCCCTAAAATGCGATAAGTTCGAAAAGATCTCATCTACTTTGATCCTATCCTAAGTTGAAAGCCGTACAAGTGGCTCTTTTTGAAACATGATGACTAGTTTCCCTCAGCTTAGCCTGTTCCAGGCTCCGAGATAGTCGGGTCCGCTGAATTGAGAAAAGGCAAACACGAAAATAAAACGGGAGGAAACTTCGCGTGCCTTTTTCTTTCGCGTCTTCCCCCGCTATCTGAGAGCCTGGAACAGGCTACCCTCAGCTAAGAACATGCAAACGGCTTATACTGGTTGGTTTCGTCCAATACAAAAATTAAGGTGGTTTTGCGTGGCTGATGACTACTCATGTACACGTGTGTTGGAGAGGCGATTCTCAGCGTGTGAGCTTAGAGTTGCTTCGATTAGCTCTACAGTGACAATTGAAGATGAACACGGCATTTTTCTGAGATCTCAAGGGTAAAAAGGTTGTTTTTTTTTAAGCACATTGGTTTTCCAAAGTTTGTTGCCAGTCATGGGTCATTAGAGAGACTTACAATCACGTTTACGGCAAACAGGAAGTTGAGGATTACGTGTAAACCAAAGCTTGAAATGTTAGAGGTTGCTTGAGAAACAATAAGGAATTTATAATAAATTAAATGAAAAGGCTTATGTGACTCTTATTCCTGAATTTATAAGTGTAAATAGTGTTATCTGGTTTTACCTTTTACTTTGATTCCACCAGCAGCGTCATTTGAGCGGTTTTATGACCCAACGAAAAACACAAACCCAACACCTCTCTGCATGTCACATGGGGAAATTGAGGCCCCTCCCACAAATATCCGTAATTTTTGAAGAAGCAACAAAAAATTGGGGATTGGCCCTCTGACCGCATGTATCCGATAAAAACGCTCACTGAAAACACAACTTTCACAAATTTCCCTTAGTTATGTCATGTGAGCGAATAAATAATTTTGAAGAATAAAGTTAACTTTAACTTTTTTTTTTAACTTTCAACTTTCAACTTTATTCATTCAATATCAATTTACAATTTCACGATAGCTTCCACCCGCGTATAGGAAAGCCTAATCGAGGCGGGGAAAGAGATTTTCTATTGAACTTCAGTCTTCCAGCTGGGTGGTATGTAGTAATTTTTTTTGAGGACCAAACGATTGTTCTGAGTCGAACAAAAATGACCTTTGAAGACCACCTTTCAGTTTCTTGTCAATTTATATGAGTTAGGATACCCGCGTGCTTTTAGGCGTAGTTTGAAGTTTGCAAGGTCCTCTTCATTAAACGTTTTCTTAGAGTTTGCTTTTACTAAGCAGTCTTGTTGCTCCACCTTCGATTAACTGACCCGCATTCTTTACTCAGGATTTCGTCGTTTTATAGACAATAAAATCACTAAAGGCTTTAAGGTACCCTCATATCTCCTTAAGGCACCTAACCAAAAAAAAAGCAAGAAGGAAAATTAATTTTGGAAAATTGAGCGTACTTCTGGAAAAATCCTCAGGCGTTCCCTCACTATCGCCCCAGTCTCCCCTAATCAGGACCACTGCAGATCCTCAAGGCACAGATCAGAAAATAGTAGTTTTGGTGTTTTAACGACAATTTTGTCAAGTTATGGCTACTGATGTGGCTACTGACTTAACGGAGGGCATAGGGGACGGGGACACACATCATCCTCGGATATCCCAAGTTAGTAAAATCCAACTAGTGGTCTTTTATCAATGCTGCGTTCTGATTGGTTGAGCTACTACTAGGCTATATGTTATAGCCTACTAGTAGCGAAAAGCGCAGGCTTTTTGGCGGCAAAAAGGATTAAAGTCTAGCTTTAACTAGCTAAACGTTTTTTATTCTCTATATTTTTTACCAACTAGTTGGATTTTACTAAAACAATTATTCCTGTCGCCCTCATGGCCTCTGAGTCAATAGCCCATTCGGCCTTCGTCCTGGCTATAGTCTCAGAGCCCGTACACTTCGGTGTCCTTTACACAACGTCAGACAGTCAGCGGTTGCTCATGACTGAAAAGCATTTCTTTCTTCCTCTTTCTCTTCTTGAACGATAACATTTATGAGACAAATCAGCTGTTGGTTTTCCCTTGATGGATTATTTACAGAGTGATAGTCTTCGTGTTCCCAAGGGAGGTGATAAAGTTTATAAAGACGAATGCGTCTACTGCTTCAATTCTCCGGTAAGTGACTGTTCTTTGAATTGTCCAGCAGTGATCGTGAATGTTAGAAAAAGGAAAACTGTACAGACTCTTTATTAAAGCTTAATAAACCTGCTGATTGTTTGGGAATTTTTAGTCCTCTAAAGAAACTTACTATTTTCATTTATAAAGTTGTCTCAAAAAATTGAATGAAGGATGGAATTCGAAGTTGCATGGGTGATGCACAGGTTACCCAAGCATTTAGATGTTACTAAAATCCTTGGCATTTCTCGCATTTCTTTTCATAGAAGAAAAGCATATCGGAAATGTCCCAAAATTGCAGAGGATTCATATAAAAACTGTAATAATTTTGTCAACCTGTGAGTAAGCTTTCTTGGCAATTACATAATTATTATTGAGGGTCTCAGGAACTAGCCTGCGTAGCTGGCGGGATTAGCGTGGGAGTGCTGTTTTGGTGGTGGAGGCGTGAGAAGAGTGCAAAAATCCCTTGTGGCTTTACCGCTCGCTTCATGCGGTGGCTCTGCCGCAAAAAAAGTACCCCATGCACAACAATCCTGCCAGTTATACAGGCAACCCAGGAGCAAGTGGAAAGAGCCATGTAGTTGTTTAAAGAAAGGTTGCAGGCAGGTTATGCACATGTCATCGGCTTCCCCCAGGGGTAGGACCCCGGGCCAACCAGGGGAATATGTTAGGGAATATAACAAGATGGACTGTATTCTCTGCCCCTGGGGAGGGGAAAATTCATGACATTGTTTCAAGTTTGAAGAAAAGGGGTGGGGGAATTCAAAATTTTTGTGATAATCTTAGATGGCAAAGTTCATGGCAATCCCACTGTGATTTATGTCTTTGCCCATTCCATAAAAATCAGGAAGGTAAATTATGCATTTCCAAGAGACCTGAGATGGAGATTCTAGAATGGTGACTACGGCTACAAAAATTTGCAATTTCTATCACTATATTCCGCTTCTCTTTGTAGGCCATCCTTCTCATCTTTTGTTAATTCTAGTCATTTTTCATAACAAATCACAGAAAAATAAACAAGAAAAGGTAACTAACATATAGTAAATTTTGCGGGCACGTGCATTGCTTTGATCTGTAGTCTGGTTATCACTTGTTAATGTAAATGCCACTGTTCTTGTTCCTACTGAAGAAAGTGTAGCTGGCAGGATCACATTGCCTGAGTTCATGTCGAAGATATTTCCCCATTCGTCTGGTGGGTTTATAGCCAAATTCATTTCATGGGTGCCTTTGTGGTCCATGTTAGCAGTCATGCATAAAAATTCCTCCAGCTAAGCAGACTTGGCAAGTATCATTAAAATTCAAATAAATCAAGTGAAGCACAGTTTTGAGGTGGATATCAGAGAGATTTTTCATTGAGAAGCACTTGACCCAGGGGGACTTTGCCTTGTTAAATTCCCCCACCCCTGGGGGAAATTGTTAACTTTGTACCGCTCGTTTTACAATCCCCCTGGTTGGCCTCGGGTCCCACCCCAGGGAGAAGCCAATGATATGTGCATTATATAAGCAGTACCTTCAGATCCTTTAGTCATTGAAATTGCTTTAAGTTGTGTTTATTTGAAGTACAACTTGCAAACTAAATAGTTTTATTTACACTGAATAAAATTGTAGGAAAGCGATGGAGGTCTGTATGTGTGTCTTTCCACATTCCTTGGATTTTGTGAGAATCACGTTAACCTTCATATCAGTAAAACACCTCACCGAGTATTTATGCATATCAAAAAAGTGAAGAAGGTATTTCTACGTTTAGCTTTTTTCTTGACTGTGTCATATGGTTTTATATTTTGATGTCTTAATCTTTTAAAAATACTATATTTAACCACATATTTTGGCAACAAAATGAGTTGAGACACTTCGCCCTAAAAGGAGCTTTTTGACGTTTAACTGTCTTCAAAAGTGGAAAAATATAGCTTTTCCTCCCCTCATCCTCTCCATGCAATCTTGCGCCGCTGTTCGAGCTACCTATAGAAATCAACAAACATGGCCTAACTTTGAATGAGGGGATGGGGGAGGGGTGTGGATTCTTTTGTTCTCTGAAGTTACCCTGTTTGAGTACAATGTCTCAACAATTTTGTCACTGATTGTAAGCTCTATTTCAAGAACTTTCATGTATGTGAATTTCTACTCTTCTCTCCACCATATGAAAAGTTGCATGTGAGCTTTTTTTGTTAGTAAGTTTGTTTTTGTTTTTGTTTTTTTATGTTTTTTATTTTACCAGAAACAGGAAGACTTATGAGTTAACAATAATAATGCTATTACTTGGAAAATGATCCATCACAGAAAATAGTACTGTTTTCTCAAATAAAATGTGTTTTTTTGTTCAATTCAAGCCTCAGACAACTGAAACAGACATCACTGTAGATACTCCACCAAAGAAAAAACCTACAAGATTAGCTATTGGTGAGTTAATTCACAACCAGCTACTGGGAATAGCATCTTAGTAGGAAAAGTATTTTCATTTGCACAGTACATCTATGTTACAGGTCAAAAATTTAAATTCAGGTTAAATTTTTTCAACCTAGGTTGATTCTTAATTTCTTTTGTCTAATTAGGGCTAGGAGACAAAGGGACCTGAGAATCAACCTAGGCTAAAAAATGACTGAGCTCTGTAATTATCATGACAATTATTCTCAGCAGAGGCCTGATTCAGGTGACTAGGGCAAAGAAAGAACAATGTACCTGCCAGTCAAAGCCTCTAGTAGACGCTACTGCTTACTGAAGGAATTGTGTCAAAATAGCCTCCTCCCTACCCCACTAGTTTCCCCCCCCCCGCCTCCCCCAGGCCTGATCCACCCACCCACTGTTAAGACAGTCCCTGGGCTATCTGGCTGTGCTGACCAAGATGGCAAGCCCCCTACTTTTTTGGACACTGCACTGGCCTGGAGCCAGACTGTGCCTGGTGCTGGGCAGAAACCTAGTGGCCACTTTTTAATGAAATCAAACATATATATTGAGTGGAAAGTTAAAATTTGAATATGATAATCCCCTTTTAAAATCAATTGTTAATTTTATGTTGTTTTTTTTTTACATCAATCATTAGGAGTTGAAGGAGGGTTTGATGTAGAGAAACCGAAGGTAAAAATAACTGTTAAAAATTATAAGCATGTCTCTAGACTCCAGGTTCCAGTTGTTCAAAAGCTGGATGGCACTATAACTCTCTAACCTGTAGAAAATGGAGTTGGTTTTTCTTATACTTATCCACTGGCCAATCAGCATTTCACATAGACATTTTCAATGGAGATATTCAAATTCCAGAGACACAGTTGCAAGCTCTCCTTCCTGGTGTGTTTTGTTGCCTGCCAGGTATTTTGTACAAACTTGTACATGAAATTATATGATCCATCTAGGCGTTGTATTGCAGATACTGCAAAATGGAGCAGATGGAAACAAAGGTTATACATGGTAGAGTGATCATGGGCAGCTGCTTATAAACTTCTCTTTTTAATCTGCAGGTAGAATATGATGAATTTAACTCACTGTCAGTATTGGGCACAGGTGGAGATCCAGTCGTTATACCTCTTCCAAATGCTGAAATTCCCTTACAGGTATTAAATGTTTACTAACATTATTATTACTTATTGTTTAGGGCCAGGTTGCTCGCCGTTTTTTACTTTTCCTCGCGCCATTTTTTCCCGCCCGTTTAGTCTTTCCCTTGCCCCCACTATCCGCCCCTGGGTCTCCGAGGATGGGTTGTTCAAAGCAGGGTAAAGATAACCCAAGGTAAGTGCAAAATTTCAATTCAGATATGAAAGCTTAAAACTAAGCAAATTCAGTTTTTTACTTGTTATCTACAATTATTTTTCTCCATTCTTTAAAAAGAATGGAGAAAATTATCTGGAAAAATGCTTTTGAACAAAAGAAAAAGAAACCTGGGTTAAAATTTAACCCTGGNTTGCTCGCCGTTTTTTACTTTTCCTCGCGCCATTTTTTCCCGCCCGTTTAGTCTTTCCCTTGCCCCCACTATCCGCCCCTGGGTCTCCGAGGATGGGTTGTTCAAAGCAGGGTTAAGATAACCCAAGGTTAGTGCAAAATTTCAATTCAGATATGAAAGCTTAAAACTAAGCAAATTCAGTTTTTTACTTGTTATCTACAATTATTTTTCTCCATTCTTTAAAAAGAATGGAGAAAATTATCTGGAAAAATGCTTTTGAACAAAAGAAAAAGAAACCTGGGTTAAAATTTAACCCTGGGTTAGCACTAATTGGCCTTCGAACAACTTGGGCCCAGTTGTTTGCTGCATCCTCTCTGTCCATTCATCCCCACAACTGTACTTACTTGGTTGCTTTAATGTAGAAACAATGTTTAGGTTATTTAATATAGACATAACTGAAAAATGTTTCTTTTTATTTCTTTTTATTGTGTTTTGCATAGGTTCAGCTGTCCATTGCAGGAGTACTTGCAGCTGATACTGCAGCCTACAAAGATCAAGTAGCAGCTTGGGATGGAGAAAAAAGGCTGATCTCAAAGTAGGCTTTAAGCCCTAATATTCACATGCAAATTCTTCATACTGATCTCCATACATTTCCTGAAAGAATTAGTTGAGAGAATTTGATAGAAGATCAAAGCATATTTCCTTTGGTGATTATTTTATTGATTCTCATAACCTTTCCTTTTGATTATGTCTTTTTATTATTAGGAGAAAATCAAAAGTTCAGGGGCACCCAACGAGAATATAGTTCAAAACCATTTAAACACAGCAAATTGTTAAACGTATTTTAGTATTTAAACGCTAGATATAGGTATATTTTTATCCCCTAAAAATTTTTCATCTGTTTGGATTTCCTAGCTGAAAGGCTAGTGATCCAAAAAATGTAGGGATCAAAACTTGCCTTTTCGAAAATTTAAGCCAGAAAAAAAGGCTCCCAAAAATTATTCTCTTTTTAGGGTAAAAATCCGTGCAAAATGGGCAATTACACCATTTTTTAGATGTTCGAAAATCTTAGGAGAGGCAGGCAAGCAAGAAATTTTACAACAAATGTTCCGAAAATTCTAGATCGCAAATCGTCTTCCGAACAGATATTTCCAAAAATTGACGTTGGGTGCCTCTGAAAGTTGGTCACTCTTGTGACCTTACAGGACGTTAGATTTAGGTTTGAGTGGGTTCTAAGAAAATATTAAATCAATATCATGGTACATATTTCCAAGCTACAGACTCATTTTACAATGAAAAATATTATCTTTTTTTTTGTTATTTTAAAGGCATGCAAACAATCTGTTACAACTGGACAATGGTGTAAAAGTTCCTCCAAGGTTAGTTTTTATTTATGGTTTAGATAATTTGCTAGCTGACTGCTTGGCTAACAGGACGGCTGCATTTTTGTGAATGGGAGCAACTTGTTTATTCATTTCTGTTGTTTCCATCTGCGTTGTTTAATCAATGGAGGTGTTTAATTGAGGAAATATGGTACTTGGATTTGACTCGGATCAGCTGGGTCCGTCTGACTGCCAAACAAACCAACTGATTGGTTGTACTAGTCTGACTGACTGTTACTAACTCTGACCGCCGGACCTTGATTGTCTGTTATCAGCAATTGCATGGCTTTGACTACAGCTGTACTCTCACTTTTTAAATGCAAAAACAACCTCCCTTATGTTAAAACAGCCATAGATGAGAGGTTCCTTTAACCACATGTAAGTGGATGGATTATCATTGCGTTCAAACTCACAGCACCCTTTTTTATGTCCATGTTTTTTTCAGAGGCTGGAAATGTTCAAGGTGTGATTTGAAGGAAAATCTGTGGCTAAACTTGACTGATGGAACAATTCTGTGTGGAAGAAGATATTTTGATGGTAATAATAATGTTAATGATAATAATAACGGTTTAATATCAGTACATCCATGGCATGGCTCTTCACCTGATATAAGAGTAAAATAAAGTAAAACAAAAAAATGGTTGGTACCTACATGAGAATACCTTGTCTTTGAAAATGGATAGCAAATTAAGTGACTCATATAACTGTAAATATAATGATTGTGAACTCTTTCCAGCGCACTGAGGTAGAAACAGAACATTCTTTTATTTATTATTCACAGTCAACTTGCCTTGAGCAGCCAAGCAGATTAATCCTCAGCCAAATTTCCTGTCATTTGTCTGAAGCTCCCTTTATTACGACAGACTCTTGCTTTTATGAAGCTATAGATACGTTTGGCAGTCCCAGCAGCTCAATTTTATTATTCAAACTCTATTTATTTTCACTTGTTTAGGATCTGGAGGTAATAATCATGCAGTTGATTATTACAAAGAGACAAACTATCCACTGGCTGTTAAACTTGGAACAATCACACCTGATGGTGCAGGTATTGCTGTTTATTATGTGATTAGAAGCCTGCCATGTTAACAGTTTATGTTGAACCTAGTAATAGCGACTTTAGATTGGATTGCAAGTGAGAGATAAATTTACACTGTAAGTACAAAGACTTTTTCAAGATCTTGTTGGCAAGGTGTTGAAAATTTAAGATCTCACGAACAAGATGTTGAAATTGGTCTTGAAGTGATGAATATATGAATTTTATATATTGGAATCGTGGAAATTATGAAGGAAAAAATGTAAATAAAATCGTTGCAGTTGAAGATGCAACTTACAGTATACAGTTGCGAAAAGAAAGCTTGAAAAAGTCAGGCTTAATCCTGCCAGCAAGATGTTGAATTTTCAAGATTTTTAACCCACCATATAATAAATATCTGCTTTACATGTAACTCTCAAAGGATAACTCACCGATCTAATCCAAAATTTTCATGACATTTTTGTTCGTCTTTGAGGACCCATCTTCAAGCATTTATTTACATAGTGCTTCGATGAAAGGGAAATGCAATGCTCATATTTTAAAGTCCTGTGTGTCTAATTTTGACAAAAAGTGCCCGTTAAATGTGTGCGTTTCATTTTGCAGATGTATTTTCTTATGATGAAGATGACATGGTAGAAGATCCTAATCTTGCTCAACATCTTGCACACTTTGGAATCAACATAACTCAAATGGAAAAGGTTTGTGATAAGCTTTGTATTAGCACAAATTCTCGGCGGATTAATTCTTGAAAGCAACATCTTTAAGTCATTTCTTCATTGCTTTGGTAAAAGCTAGACTACTTAATTGGTTCAAATGCTTGGAATGTAGGCATTATTTTTTCCAGTTTTTTTAGGCATAAAAAGGCACGCGCGAAGCGAGCGAGGAGCGCGAGACAGCACGCGACAGGGGGAAGTCGCCTTCCGCCATAGCGTGTGTCTCGCGCTTCTCGCCTGCTTTGTGCTTCGTTGGCGCGAAAAATGGGCGCCTCTATTGAAAACTAGGACAACACCAATATCTCTGTACTCTGTAAGTGACCCATACTTTTCAGTTGCGTTTGTTAACTTTCGTCAGTGTCCTTTTTGCTGATAATTAAGTTGTTATAACTGCAGACAGACAAGACCATGGCGGAGTTAGAGATAGACATCAACATGAGAATACGAGAATGGGATGTTATTCAGGTAAAAACTTCTCTCTTCCTGTCATTGTTAGCCTGCGAGCAAGCTTTTCAATTGGGGGAGTCGCGAGAAGGCGCGCGTCAAGGGCACGCGAAAGGAGACGCCCCTCAAGCTTCGCTGCTCGCTCGCGCGTTCTCTCGCAGACTCCACAAAACTACTTTAATTTGGTTCAGAGAGATGCTATCCTGCCAAAATATCAATATTTTACTGACGGATCGTTTTCAACACATTTCTCCAATTGCAGGAAGCGGGCAAAAGATTAACTCCCTTGTACGGTCCAGGCTATACCGGACTAAAAAATCTAGGAAACAGGTAAAACGAAAAATTAGCTCTACTTTCAGTTGTTAGAAGAATCGTTGTTTACATACAGTTTGAAAATTACTTTGTGGCGGTATTTCTCGCTCGTTACATTAATCCTAGCTCTTTGAAAGCTGTGAAATTAAACAGCGGTACATGTACCTGTTTTTGGCAGTGCATCTTTTTTACTGGAAAGAAGCGGACACAGGCAGTATTATTTTCTCCAGGTAAAGGGTTATAATCCTCCGGAAAATGTTCGGTTTATTTAACCGCAACTTATATTCCGTCAGTCATGTCTCTCAGCTCAGTTAATAAACGCGATGTGATTTAGTGGGCCTTATTGCACTGTACGGCCTGCTAAATTTGGAGTGATTTGGGGGTTCGCTCTTCAGTTTTACAGCAGAATACGTTTTCTTTCTTCATGTATTTTTTGAGCGGTTTTATTTTTACTGTTTTGGGTGTCTTCTTTACGTCATTTACGCTCCGTTACAAGCTGAACGAACCTAACCTTCTCTCGTCTGTAGGAATATTTCCTACCATTTTTTCTTTCATTTGATTCAATTTTTGCTTGTGTTCTTCATTTTTAGTTGTTACATGAACTCAGTAATGCAGGTTCTATATTCTCTACCGGAGTTTAAACAAAGGTAACCAAAAAAAGAGACAACATTCCTACTTATATAAGCTTTTATCAGTTTAAAACGGTGTTGAGAAGATGTGCCGCAGCAATGTGTCTGTTTTTTGTAATCGTCAATTTTTAATCTGTGAAAAAAAAAACTGTTTCTATAACTTATACTTTTTTAAAGGTATGGAGATCAATGTGCCGCCATATTTTCCAAGGCGCCTGCTGACCCGAGTGGAGACTTCAATACTCAAATGTAAGTTGTACTTGTAACCTCGAACCTATCACAGAATTCAACTCTAAAATATCGGCCCCTACTGATATTGGAATTATAGAATGTTCGACTAGTTCTCGTATCACGTCAGGTGGAAATTATAAGTAAAGCCCCTCAAAGTCCATACCTATGGATCTCTAAGCCAGTGCTTCGTGCATTCTAGTTTGGGAACATTGGTATTCGTATAAGGTTTTCCAATGAAGCCCCGCAAAATCTCAAAACCGCAAACTTCAGCAATACTAGTATTGACTCTGGTAGGGAAACGTTCGTTTCAGGGTTATGCACCGCCGAGTCCTCATCATTTACAGTGTACTGTAACTGTACTCATTTGTCGTTTCTTTGGACCTAAAGGGCCAAGTTCGCACATGGACTTCTTTCAGGAAAATACTCGCAAGCACCTGATAAAGATCTTCAGGAAACGGACCAACAATCAGAACAGGTATGACCTTTGAACTTGCCATTCAAATAGGTACACTCTGTTTTGACCCTGTGTGATGGTAAAAACATTTCCTGTTGTTGTAAGAGAGTTATGTTTGTTGGATTAGGTTAGTCTGGCATTCCTAGCAATATCAACATTGGGAAAGCTAAAAGTTAACGAAGTAAGCAAGTTTCATTTTGTACATTTAAGAAAAAACGAGAACCACCATGTTAAATACTGCTGATGAGGTTTTACTCGAATGTTCGTCTGCAGACTTAAAAGTTAGAACCATATTAGATGCCTTTATCGCTCACTTTAGCACTGAATGGCAATGAATACTGACAAAAGCAACAGCAATAAAGCTTTGGGAAAGATCCTGCAACTTATCTAAGTAAAATCGTAACAAATAAACAGTGCAGAGGAAAGACGAGTCAAAGTACTTGCTTTTAAATAGTAAAACTGTCGAGTTTCGTCCACAGACTCAAATTTTATTTAGGTCTTGTAATAGTCACGTAAGTATAAACGATGCCCCTCGACATATGTAATGAAACTTCAGTATAAAAAGGATATAACATGTGCAACATCACGGGCTTTGTTGTACTTAACGTCCGTTGCTTGTACAAACCGCAAGTATGGGGTCAGCCTGCGTGAGTTTCTGCGCGAGTTTGTGGAGAAAGTTGGAGCGAGAGCTAAAGAAATTGAAGAAGAGGGAGAGGACGAGGAGAAAAGGAAACGCCTTCCCCTCCCGCTTCTTCCAGTTTTGTGTTCTCTCGGTCAACGTTCGCGCAATAACTCGATCGGAAACACTTACTACGCAAGCTTGTATGTAGTGGCAGTATTTGACTTTTAAAACTTGGTTTGTTTCTAAGGAACAAGATGGCATTGCTCCTCAGATGTTTAAGTCAGTAATAGGTCGCGGTCACCCTGAATTCTCCACCAGCNACAAATAAACAGTGCAGAGGAAAGACGAGTCAAAGTACTTGCTTTTAAATAGTAAAACTGTCGAGTTTCGTCCACAGACTCAAATTTTATTTAGGTCTTGTAATAGTCACGTAAGTATAAACGATGCCCCTCGACATATGTAATGAAACTTCAGTATAAAAAGGATATAACATGTGCAACATCACGGGCTTTGTTGTACTTAACGTCCGTTGCTTGTACAAACCGCAAGTATGGGGTCAGCCTGCGTGAGTTTCTGCGCGAGTTTGTGGAGAAAGTTGGAGCGAGAGCTAAAGAAATTGAAGAAGAGGGAGAGGACGAGGAGAAAAGGAAACGCCTTCCCCTCCCGCTTCTTCCAGTTTTGTGTTCTCTCGGTCAACGTTCGCGCAATAACTCGATCGGAAACACTTACTACGCAAGCTTGTATGTAGTGGCAGTATTTGACTTTTAAAACTTGGTTTGTTTCTAAGGAACAAGATGGCATTGCTCCTCAGATGTTTAAGTCAGTAATAGGTCGCGGTCACCCTGAATTCTCCACCAGCAGACAGCAAGATGCACAGGAGTTCTTCATGCATCTAGTCTCTACAATCGACAGAGCAGAGGTTTGCTTCTAAGCTGTAATACTTTCTCTGAAAGAACCAATCTTCATGTTTTTGGTCCCGGGCAAAGACGTCCTAAGTGATATTGCTTAATGACCATGTAATGAAAAATTGATACAGTCGAACCTTCCGTAAGCGACCACCCAAAATGCGTAGATTTAGTGGTCGCTTACTGGAGGTGGTTGTTTACGAGAAAAGAACCACAGGCGGTCTCTTCCGAGAGGAAGTCTAAACACAGCTACTTTCTGGAAGAGAATTCGTTGCCTACAAAGGCACGATATAAGTGGGTTCACGTTGTCCCTAGAAGTTATTTGCACACTCTTAGTAATGTCGTAAATGGGCAGAGAGATCAGACTATGGGTCAAGCGGTCGCTTACAAGAAGTTAAAAACAATGGAAATTCTAAAACTATCACTCCAAAAAGTGGTCGCAGCTGCTTACGGGAGATGATCGTTTACAAGAGTCTGAGATCCCAAATATAGAGCTATAACTGGAAACGCCTTGGTGTTTTGGATAGGTGGTCGCTTATGGCGTGTCCTTTTATTTTGCAGCGATCCAGTGCTGGGCCAATTAACCCGGCAGATTCATTTAGGTACAAGGTACGTCTACAGTTCACTCCTCTTTGTATATCCACCTGTGGAGAAAATGCCAGTCTATAACATGTCTACCCGAGAGTGGTGCTGCATGCGTTACCAAGTTTGTCATGTAACTTTTGATTGCCGTGCAGCTTGTGACTGCTCATGTTTTCTTTTCCCTCCCCCCTCCCCCGTAGGTAGAAGAACGTACGCAATGTATGAAGTCGGGAAAGGTCCGCTATGTTCACAGAGAGGACACGCTATTGGCGCTGTCAATACCAATGGATGCTGTGCAAAATAAAGGTGAACGTTTCATTTGATCAAAACTTGGCTACCAGATAACCTGTGAGTCCCATTTAACGATCTGTTATTTTGTTCAGCAGTCGTTGTTTCACTGACTTGTTTCTGTTTTGTTTGTTTGTTTGTTTTTCTTTCAGATGAAGTCGCAGCGTATGAGTTGAAGCAGAAAGAAGCAGAGGCAAAAAAAGAACGATTGTGAGTTAGCTTCGCATTTTCTCCAAAAAATAAGATCCTCCTTTGTAGATTCCTGATAGTTTGTTACCAACAACCTCAGTTCGTGATCGCTATCGGTAATATTATGTTAGATGGACGAATGACAGAAACTTAGTGGCGTGGCAAACACTTAGCAGAACACAATGCATTTAAGTAACTCTGGGTATTAGCCCTTAGGTTCTTAGGCCCAGTAGGCCAATTACGAGTTGACTCAAGTCTCTGTTTCAAAGCGAGGCTAAATGCAAAGTTATTGATATGAAAATGTTTTTCTTTTGTGACTCGTGCAATTAAGACTTATTTGCACAAGAAAGGTTTTGCACTTGGCCTCGATTTGAAAGTGAGAATTTTTTGGAACTCGGAAATAGCTTATTATGGCAGGAAGATTAAGTGGATTTGTGACTCTTACTTTTAAATCTCTGGTCGAAATCCTTTGCTGTTAACATTCAAATGAAACCCATTAGGCGGAACTTTTGCATTGTACCATTAATTACTTTAATTTTTACAGAAAGAAATTTAAAATTTCCTCTTATTTTTGTTTTTATCAGCCGCTATTACGACAATTGTAAGAGTTGAATTGTTACTTTTTCGTTTACAGAGATCCCAGTGAAATGGTGCGGCCCAGAATAGCGATGTCAGCGTGTGTCGAGGCGTTTGCTACCCCCGAAATTATCGATGATTTTTACAGCACAGCTATACAAGCGAAAAGTGTGGCGCAAAAGTGAGTGTATGTCCGTCAACATGAAGTTTACTCTTTTTAAATCACTTTCGTTTGTAGTAAGTCACTTATAGGTGACTTAACTGACGAGCAGTTGGCTGTTGCAAGCAAATAACATAAGTGAAGCTCGTAGTTTCAAAAGAAATTGGTGGGGTAGTGAAATACAAAGATTCGTAACTGAGTTACTGCCGCAAAAAAGCTAAAATTTCGAGGGCTCGGCCTTCGTCAGTGCGAATAATGGAATTGTTGTGTTTTGGAGCTAAAGAATGTTGGGTCTTACGACTTGTCAGGATTATTTGGAATTCCCTACTCCACAAACTATAAGGAGAATAGGTAAAAGCTTTCGGCGCAACGATTTCTGGGATTATTTGAGTGGACTAACATTAATTATGATTGGTGGATGGTATTCAAGGCAATAATTAGCCCATCATTAAAAACGCTTATCCACTCTAGCGATCCCAGAAATCGCTGCGCCGAAATCTCGTACCCATTCCCCTCATAGTTTTTGGAGTGGAGAATTAGGATCATTACTTACCCGCCAGTTTGTCATATTACTCGTCAGCATCACCCTTGGTCTTAAATGTTAAATAGCTATTTATGGTCTGTGTTTACTGACTTTCATTGTTCTCCTCTTTGTTATTTTAGATCAACGAGATTTACCACGTTTCCTGATTATCTGATGGTACAGATGGAAAAATTTACCCTTGGCGACGACTGGATACCAAAAAAATTAGGTGCATAACAGATCTGTTATGTCTTATTTGGCAGCCATTTAACACTTTTACTCCTTTGTATCAAACCTTGTGTGGTTCTTCTATAGTGGGACCCCATACGTAAACCTATCACACTTAGGTGGGACCATCCACCTGCACAGGAAAGCGAACATTCCGCCGAAAATAGCGGATACTTGCATCGTAAGACTGTTTCTGTACTTGTCCAATTGTACTACGAGACTCTTTTAAAGACGCTATCGCTTCATGTATTGGCTATAGTTAAACTGCAAAATAGTTCGTATTTTTGCGTATTCAAGTACGCGCGAGTAGTCAAACAAAATGTCTGGAGCGAGGCTGAAAACAGGTAGCGAGACTGGGGAGAGACCCTACGAGCGTGTGAGGCTCGCGCGCTTCGTGTGGGTAAGGCTCTTACCCTACTCTTACGCTACACTAAACCGATTTTGTGAAAAAAAATCGACTGTTTTGTAGTCTAGCTGTTACGAAGTTGTACTAGAAAGTGGATAAAAACTTCGGCCCTCCTAAAACAGTCCCATGATTCAAAACGACACAACACCGACCCAGTCTCTCACTCAACATCCAAATGACCATTGTGCTTGTGTACATTTGTGTGTTTTTAATTACTAGTATTATTTTTGTTTTTCAGACGTTTCAATAGACATTTTAGATGAGCTTGACTTGACTCACTTAAGAGCCACTGGTCTGCAGCCAAGCGAACAAGAATTACCTGAAGGTGAACAAGCTGCTCCCGCTGCGGGTAAACTGTCTGTTTTCATTGTCTTATTACTACAAGGTTTTTTTTCTCCCAGGAGCTGGATTCCCGTTTCATTGTCAATGAAACTTGGATTAATGGATTCCGGATTCCAATCGTTTTTAGGATTCCGGGATCCTTTAGCTGATTTCCAGATTTGAAAGGCCAGGATTCCTGATTTCCCTTGATTCCGGAATCCGGACTCTCTTACATGGGGCGGTCTGTTGACGGAATAAAATCTACTGAATCTAGTTTTACATTTTACAGAGGTTCTGCTTGTTTTTACTGCATTGTATAAACATTTTTATCAATTTGAACCTGATTTGTTTATCAGCCGAGGTGCAAATAGATGAAAGCGTTGTGATGCAGCTTGTGTCTATGGGTTTCGACAAGGAAGGCTGCCGGAAGGCTGTTTATCACACCAATAACCAAGGTATGATTATCTTAGTTACACTGTTTAGATGGTGANTTAAGAGCCACTGGTCTGCAGCCAAGCGAACAAGAATTACCTGAAGGTGAACAAGCTGCTCCCGCTGCAGGTAAACTGTCTGTTTTGATTGTCTTATTACCACAAGGTTTTTTTTTCCAGGAGCTGGATTCCCGATTCATTGTCAGTGAAACTTGGATTAATGGATTCCGGATTCCATTCGTTTGTAGGATTCCAGATTTTCTCGGATTGCGGAATCCGGACTCTCTTACATGGGGCGGTCTGTTGACGGAATAAAATCTACTGAATCTAGTTTTACATTTTACAGAGGTTCTGCTTGTTTTTTATTGCATTCTACAAACATTTTTATCAATTTGAACCTGCTTTGTTTATCAGCCGAGGTGCAAATAGATGAAAGCGTTGTGATGCAGCTTGTGTCTATGGGTTTCGACAAGGAAGGCTGCCGGAAGGCTGTTTATCACACCAATAACCAAGGTATGATTATCTTAGTTACACTGTTTAGATGGTGAATAATTATCACCTCTTCAAGCAGCTAAGCATAGTTTTATTGCACTGGTCATCTGTCGCATGGATAAAATCAGGAAAATATGCACTTCTGAGTGTGTATAAAACTAAATTAAACAAATAAAACATTCCTTCCGTGTTTGGTGTATTAGGCTTGAAAGCGGTTCAGGGGCGGTTACTTTCTTAGAAAAAGATTCAAGACGTTCACAATTGAAAACGAACCTTTTTTCGTGCTTCTTTCACCTTTCACGACCTACACTACCACGCTAATTACTCTATATTGTAGTAATTTAGAGGTTTCATAATCTCATAATTGTCGTATCGTATCACAGAAAGTGACCCTAGCCCTTTCTCAAAATTTTCACGTTAGAGAGATTAAGCATCGCGTTTACGGCAGACGGCAAACGTGAATTTGTACCACGTGACCAAGTTTCCTCTTTACTTGTCGTTCACTTTTCATTACAACTACACGCAGATCGGTAGATTCATGCCAATTCTATCCATAAGAATTGTTTTAAGCTGTTTTCATCAGCTCATTTCTCATTTTGAAAATTTCTCAACTTGAATCTCACGTTTGCCGTTTGCCGTAAAGGCGATGCTTAATCTCTCTATTACTTGAGGTTAGGTCTAATCCTTGTGCTTTCTAAGTCTTTTTTAATTTTATAACTTTTGCTTTATTGTAACTATGAGCATTTATTGGAACTACTGTACTAAAACTTTGGTTCGGAAAGGTGGCAGCGACCGTTTGCGGTAGGTAAATACGCTCACCCACAAACTTCCGTACTAAGCACCCCATTTTTAAGGGTAGGGTCTGCAAAGAGTAATGGATGTCTCAGAACTGTGGAATGACAAATCGAGGTTACGTGTAAACGCTTCAATGACGTGTTTGTATTCCTCTTAGGTATTGAGCCAGCTATGAACTGGGTTCTGGAACATATGGGAGATCCAGGTATGTATGACATCACACAAACAGTCACAGAAACTTTATTGACTGAAATGTAGAGCGTGTTCAGCTGAGTTAATTGTGTGTTAATGGAAGTTAAAGAATACAAAACATACGAACCATTCAGGCCAGAAAAATTCTGCAATTTGCGACGTAAATACTACACTAGCGTAGCCTAACATATGAATTACGTGTACTTCGAAATGGAGCAAATTATCTTCGTTGTGGTACTCAGGGTCAAAATGACTTGCTCTGGGTGCTAGTGGCTCTAAGCACCAAAGTAGAAAGATGAAAGTACAAAATAAAGTTATTTTCTAACTGGTACAAACCGTTCCTGTTTATTTCCTTACAATGCTTCGATCCATAACTTAGATTTCAGTGAACCGCTGAGCCTTCCAGCCAGCGGTTCTACAGGAACAACGAGTGTTGACGAGGAGGCTGTGGGTGTTATCACCGCGATGGGATTCACGCGGAATCAAGCCATTAAAGCTTTAAAAGCCACTGTAAGTATCAAAGGGTCCTCTTCACGGATTGGTCAGGAAAACTTGAAATCTGGCCAATCCAAAACAAGAACTTAAAATGACTCTGTGACAAGTTCAGCAAGAATAGTGTCATAGTGCCCAATGCCCTTTCGCTTGTCTTGTGAATGCCTGCAACGATTTCGTCCTCAAATGTGTTGTGCACCGCCTGAGTCTCAGAAGCGTTAGAATGAAAAAGAAGGTATACTGACTGGTTTAAGTAGTAAATGTGAGACTGCTTATTACAATGGATAGTAGGAGAATTTTCATTGTTATGCTGCACCTCTATGGAACACGCGGGGAATACTAAGATAAGGGCGAAAATAATTTCAGCGTATGCGAAGAAATGCCGCACAAGCGGGTTTTCGTTGGTGAGGGGAGTAGAGGGGAGGGGGGGGCAAAAAACGAAAGTATATGTCCTGTCGGGGCAAGAACGCATAAGACAGCGATCTGATGATGGCAAAGCATTAAAATACTGCGCTCAATACCCGGGGTTCATGCAAGGGTCCCAGGAGGGAAAACGTGCTAATTTATGGGGCCCGTGCGCCCAGTTCGGAGCAATCATACCAATGAAAATAGGACACAACCACAAGTTTATTCAGTATATTACCATTTTGTACAGGTGTTACCGATTAAAATAACAATAAACAGCTAAATTTAAGGAAATGAAGATATAATGGAATGGTCGAATTAATTATGCGCAATTAGTTAGCCATGAAAAAATGTCTTTCAACCGTGTACGCAGTTATGTGCCAAAGTGGCTTGTTATGGTGCGACGCTTATATGGCCTTTATTTTGGGTTCATTTCCGGAATTGCTGCTGATAATCACGTCTACGTGGAAGTTGATTATTTTGAGTTCTAGTTTTTTTAAATGAATACTAAGATTCTTCGTTTTCTTATCTTTATCCCTTACTACAGAGCAATAACTTGGAGCGAGCAGCGGATTGGATATTTAGTCATGCGCACGAGCTCGATACATTAGAAGACGAAAGCCAAGGCAACCAGGACTCTGGGCCCCAGTACAAAGATGGAACTGGAAGTATGTAAAAAGCACTTGTCGTTGAAAATTAAGAATCATATATAAGACAACGAGCTAAGATGCTTTTAAACCTGTAAAACAAATACTTTGCTTAACTTTTATCCCATACAAGCGTTAATCGTGTTAACCTCAACTTTTCCTTACTCTCATTTTCAGAGTACCGTCTTGTTGCCTTTATCAGTCATATGGGTACCTCTACAATGTGTGGGCACTATGTATGTCACGTGCTGAAGGAAGGAAGGTGCTTGAACTACCTTAAAATTGTTAAATGTCTTAAATTAACAGGATAAAACTTATCTCTTTAAAGGAACTGTATGGGAAAATTTAGCCAAATTCAAACGGCGGAAACTGCCTAGTGAGCCAAACATAAAAATTACCGCGGGAAACATTGAGAGAAAAATACAGAAGGAGGCAGGAACCGCCAAAATTGATAAAAACTGAAACAGATTGTTATCAGGGTCATTGGCGACTATTCAGCCTGACAAGTTTTCAAAGTTCATCTCTCTTGTTTGCTTATAACCGTAAGTAATGAGTGAGAGACACATTTGTTTGGTGCGAAGCTCTGCCAAGATTGCTTTGATGAATTTGTGTAAGTCACAACTTGTTGCATATTCCAGAACTTTATTTATTTATTTACTATTTATTTATTTTCCTTTTGTTTGTTTGGTTTTGTGTGTTCTTAGATGGGTTATTTTCAATGATCGTAAAGTTGCCCAATCAGAAGCGCCGCCAAAGGACCTTGGTTATCTCTATCTTTATAAGCGAATCGACAGTTAACGTTTTTGGAGCTCGCTGGCTCACAGCTGATACCCACGTCATGTTGGCATAAATGGATTGTTCTTGATGTTGTCCAGTATAACCCATGGCAAAATAAAACTGCTGTGCTGCATCTTTATTCACAAAGACTTGTTAATTTCCATCCTTTAGACTATGTTGGAACATTAAAACATTTACAATTGAATTATTAGAGTATTAATAAAATGCTTTTTAACTCTTGCCAGTTAGAGACGTTCAGTCACACGCGTTCTTTGCCATGATAATTTGCCCTGCGAAATACTATGTACAAGTTATATACAGCAGCAATAAGAACAAAAGTAATTTTACTACAATAGAGTTGGAAAAGGAATGCTTGATAAGTTCGATACTTATCGAAACCATCTAGTGTCTTTGACGGCTATAGGTACTTTGCTTTTGTAATCTCTGTTAAACGTAGGTTACTACTACTCTTCTCGCTTGACTAAGGGTGGATCTGTTATCAGCTACTGATATTTTCAGTTGCATAAGTTCCTAAGATCACTTGTTCATTGAATACTCATCGTCAGTTCATATTGTGAAACGAGATATCCTGTTTTTGGGTTGACGAAAAGGTGATTTTAGACAAGAAATTGGTCAAGACAACTATGTTTTGAATGCTGAGTTCGTCGGAAGAAGTAGGTGATTTCTTCCCTGATTTTGTCCCAGACCATATCTGACTCTGAGCTGGAAGGCCCGATCCCGATTAAAGAATCAGCATTTTTTAACTCTTCACGTGCGCCATTGTGCATTACCACCATCGATTCCTCTAGAAAATTACACGACTCCAGGTTTTGAGACCCTTGGACATAATCATGAAATACTTCGCCTTCTATTTGTGCCATGCCATGACTATTTTACCTTTTTTCATGGTGGGTGAGTTTGACACCATTTCGGTGTTAGTACCTCCACTGCACCGAGTCATAGTTGTTTGACGTTCTGTTCGAGTGCGTCGCTTGGCAAGTTTGTCTCTGACGAGGCCACGTACTTTCTTTGTGGTGGTAAAGCACAGCATGATGAAAAACCCTGTCAAAGAGTAACAGCAAAAAAAAACTTTTTTTATAACGCCCTCAATTAAAATTTGGTTCCTGCGTCTGCAAGCACGCGGGAAGTTTGGAGAGCACAAATGAGGCGCAAGACGCAGCCAAGTGCAACTCTAGCCTCTAACTCTTCCTTAGAACATCCAGCGCTCGGTTGTCCATCTCTCTACAATACAAGTCAACCTTTTTTTAAAAAAAAAAAAGGAGAGAGAAAGAATACGTCGCTTTCTTCCAGGTACGATAAGAAAGCCATTGAACTTAACTGAAAAAGAATAGTCTTGGACATTCTTTGCCTGAGATCATCTAACATAATACCTTGCAAGCTGTTTAAAATGGTTGAAGGAAATTGAAGAAAAGCAAATCGTTGCCAGTTGGTGATGAGTGCCAGAATCCAGGTCAGTCCCATGACTGAAGTCAGTTTGACGCTGATGACAACTAGAGAAACTCTGGGAGAGTTGGCCGCTGCAAGCCCGCCGCCCTGGAAAATGGGAAATTTATATAGTAAGTCAACTCATTGCATTGGGATCAATCAATTAAGTTGTCTTTCATGTTATGTGTTTTATTCCATAAAACCAATTGTTCTGTAATGACACTATGAAATTTTTGACTGTTTTGAGCCCGTCGTCCTCTCGCGTGGATAACCATGGCCAAATGTCAGTCGATTCATGTCCCTCCATCTACTTAAACGCGTCCATAAAAAACCAGTTGGTTTTGATCCTTTTTTCTCAGTACAGCTGCGCAAACATTTTCATTTAAGGTTCTGGTTGGTCAAGGTAGTTCATGTCTTGCTATTGGCCACTTTTAGGTTGCGCGGAAGACTGGTTCGATGTTGTGTATAATTGCACTATGGGATTGTTTTAGGAGACAAATATTGACTCAGTGTTCTGCGCAAGCTCGTTATCCATTGTCGAAGCGACGACCGGAAATACGTCTGCGGTTCGCAGGCTTACTTTTTTTGGCTCGTCACGCAATCCTCCTCAGGCAGGAACGCGTGACGAGACCCTAGGAACGTCTGCGTGAGAGACTCTCACTAACCCGACGCAACCTCCAAACGATCAATAAGAAAACTAAAACTGTTAGCAGAGCCTTTCCTTCCCTTGTTCGATTTTGGTGTTTTCCTTCTCACTCAAGAAAAAGGCAAATATTAAGCATGTTCTGCTGCCAGGATGGAGCAAAATCGTGCCTTTAAAAGTACAATGTTTTCCGTTAACGTTTCGGGCTTGAAACCCTCCCTCAAATATAAGTCAACTGGTATATCGTCCTATGTTTATAATCCGGGACACATATAACACGAGAACAGTGCAGTATCTTGTCATCTGAACTTTGGTGTGTCAAAATTTTTTAACAAGTTTAGAGCGGAGAGTCCTTAGCGTTTTAACGATCCGGCAATCAAACGGCACATAATGATGTAAACAGGCAATATGCTTCTCTATAAACACGTGTGCTATTAATAAGACGTTACCAAGTCTTATACCTAGTCCCTGTACGGCGCCTTCCCAGGCCTTCTTCTTCACGTGACCCGAAAGGCACAGGCCGCGCGGAAAAATGAGACCTTGTATACAAAATAACTGAGACGTACTTGCTGAAGATTATAAATAGAATATATGCTTTTGGATAAGCACACAGCATTAAAGGCCATTGCGAGGCCCACGGGTGTCACCATGGCAACCAATATTGCCGTTTTGTTGGAGATCCAGCAGTAGAGGGAATTCCCTAAAACATAAAACGAAGCGTTTAAATATTACATGTGTTTCAGAAAAGAGAAAAATAAATAACTGAGCTGACGCCTGACAAAATAGCGCGTAACTGCATATGTTGGTTCACTATTTGGTGCCTATAATTTCCTGTCCTCTAATATTAGATCTGCAACGGACTTTAATATGTTCAACTCCTTGACGAAACGGCATTTCAAGGGCCAGTCTGTTCAATATTTTTAATTGTCGAGTGTCTCTATGTGTTGTATCTTTTCTTTCTTTTATCTAAACTAGGTGCTCCTGTATATATATATATATTTAAATAAATAGATAAACAAAATAAATTAGCAACAACTAAAATGCACTAGGGAAACAGACCGTATCCAATATGAAAGGTTCCTGTGGAGTCCAGCACAGCACAACCAACCACAAGTACCGCGGGAATACCCCATCCGACGATGCTGTACTTAAGAAACGTCTTGGTGATGTCTGACGGCTGCCTTGATGTGTCACTCACTGTCAATTTAAAAAAGTAAATACGTCCGTGACTATCTCTTGTTACAGAAACGTTTCTAGGTTTGCCCTTTTTAAACACTCGAGGTGGTCCCCTACTGCCGTTGTTGACACCCTTGTAACTATTTCTTCGCTAAAAAAAAGATAGAGTTTTCAAGAGTAAAAATTATTTTTTAGACGATGGGCCATTACCAGTACTCTTTTTTTTCGCATGAACTCTAACCTTTCACATTATCGCCAGAGAGTTATAAAAGTTAACTAATTTCCTTCATGTTCACTGACGATTATACCCTGTTGAACGTTTAACGGGTTCCATTTTAGCTTCAGTCGTAATCGTTCAACCGAGTAATAATACGACGACTTTTTAACAGAAGAGAAGATACCACCCCCTTCTCGACCCTTGCCAGAGAGGATGGTATGTTTAAGAGAAGAGTCAGGGACGCCATCGAAGTATTTCGTCGAGCTGAAATATTAGACAGGGACACGTTTTGTCACGTGATTAATTGTATAAATCACGTGACAAAATATTCCAACTGTATCTCTTGATAAAGGTTCCGTGATAGATTCGAAAGTTTGTATGTAGTAAAAGGTTTCTATCCTGGTATTTAAAACTTCGTTTTCTTTATCTATCTTTTTTATAATCCAGACGGTCTTTAGTTGCTTCTTTATTTGTTAACTAGGTTTTCTTGCTTTACTTCATGTACAATGCAAAATATTGTTATTTACGTTAACTCTTCCCGCTCTCAATGAATTTCAACTGACCTTGGGCTGTGAAAGTACAAGCTGTATCAAACGCCACGACACTCATCCACGAGAAAGCCGCTAGAGCAAAGAAATGAAGACCAATCGCAATGGCTTTGCAAACACCTTCGACTTCTTTGGACATTTTAGTGAAGAGGAATATAACTTGATAAAACAACAGCGCCCATGAGAGACTGATGAGGCATTTTCCAGGTAGATTCCGAAGTTCTTTAAAAGCCATATAAACTCCGAGAAGAAAACATAAAGATACAATGGAAAGTACTGATCCGATAAGTGTGATGTAACCAAGAATTACAGCAATTCCAAAGGTAACTGTGCAGTTTTTATTGGAATCGCAGTAAAACTCCTGCCAGGTCGTGTTATAACCAAACGATGTCTGGTTGTACGCAAATGATATCAGATTGTAATCTTGTGTTGGAGAAGGTATTGTTGCTTCGTCAATTAAAATATCTGAGCTCACATCAAAGAGAATTGTCAGTGGTGCCACACTATCGATAGGGTGGCTTTCTTGTTCCTCTTCTTCTTCTCCTCCTCCTTGTTCTTCGTTCTTTTTCAACTGTCTTCCCTCTGGGTTACAAAGAGCACAGTGAGGGTTTCTATAGTGGAGTTTGTTTTGACCACTGGCAAACGAAAAGACCATGGAGTATGAAAAACACAATTCTCTTATGGTAGACATGATTGGGAGCTGTACCTGCTTGGAGGCACAAAGTGAATCTTGCATCACACAGAACTTATGATACTGCCTGCGGTTTGGAAATGGTTTATATTGCCAAGAGCACTGGTTATGTTTCCTTACGAATGTCTTAAGAGCCGTGGTGTTGTGGAAAGGAGGTTGCAAACCAGGTGAACAAGTTACTTCGAAACCCCAAAATGACAAATTTTTTGCATTGTTGCATTTTCCACAAGCAATACTTCGGTATGTTATGTTGTTCGTCCAGTCACTTACTGGCAGTTCTTGTTCGAATGTCATATTAAGCTGCTGAACGGTTTGACATGCTTGTTGGCTGGTTTGATTGCTCTGATTTGATTTAGCTGAAATGCAAGATTTCATGATTACCCCGGACCAAGAAATAGCATTGACGTCACCACATATTCCATCTACAACTGAAATATTTCTAGTTTGACTGCATCTGAAAAAAAAATTGGTTAAAGATTGCTTTTTGTATCTGCTGAACGAAAATGACATTTAATTTCTCAGCAATGTATACAAGCAAAGCACAAATTATCAAGTTACTTTTAACTAACTACAGAGGAGCGTCTATGGTCTAGTTTGTGGCCTTTTTTTAAAATGGTGGGCGAATTTTCGGGTGGGTCAAAACGCTGGTTTATCTAAAATTCCTCGATTTCACAATCAGAATCAAATTTGGAAGGCGTACCATTTTATTTTGACTTTTGAGTTCTTTAAAGAAATCCTATGGGGCGACCATTCAAACGGAATCTGGCTTTAAAAATCAATATGTTCTTTCAAATCGTACTTTTTGCCTTTTTTGTTAGTGCTTTTTGTTGTTTAAAAAAGTGTATATTATGATCAAAAACTGATTACAATCATGAAATCTGAGGGGTCATTCTGAACCCCATTTTACGAAAGGCAATTCGAGTCTGTCATGTTAATGTATGAATTAACTAAGAAACAAAGCGCATGAACTAAAACAAAAAGATCTTTTTAAAGTTCATATTTTGGTCTTACCTCAAGTGAAAATCTAAACAACAATCACCCCACGTAATGCAAACCTTGTCGCAATAACATGTTTTAGAAACGGTTCTTTCGTCTATGAAACATCTGCCATTACACGACTGTATTCTTGAGGACATCTGTTTGTTAATTACTTCGTTAAAAAAGGAATCCTCATTTTGTGGCACAGAGATGTTATAATCACTAAGAAGACCCAGAAGTTTCTTTAAA